CCCCAAAACCCCAAAACCCCAAAACCCCAAAACCCCAAAACCCCGAAGTTAAGAACCAATATTGAGGCACCCATATATTTTGTGAAGAGTTCTTACAAGTCAAAAAGGGTTAAAACTTTAGTTCCTGTCCAAGTAAGTTCACGAACTGCTTCTTGAGTAAGCCACCTTGGCCTGGCGGGGTAATTTCATGGATTTCTTCCAATTCTAGGGAGTTTTTTAGTAAACACTTTGGCTTTGCTGGAGATCTGGCTGAGTTGCAAATGTTGTCTATAAACATTATTGAGAGTGATTTAAGTAAGCTCACCTCTGTCAAGGAGATCTCCTGTCTTATGGAACAAACGCTGGTATTTTTCAGATCTTTTGATTAATTCGCTGTCCGAGTGAGAAACTGAGAGAGTTATTTTTAGATCTTTAACTTCATCTAAGGCTAAAGTTGGAGGAATATGGGTTTGAATATGAGGTTGTGGCTGAACTGATTTAATTTTTAGAGGTTCTGAAGCTATAAATAATTAGAGAAATCTTACAAGTTTCACTTTTGACAGAGGGAACTTTTGAGACCTTAAAATTAGAGCTTAATTTCCTATCCTTCTTTTTGGGTTTAATATGAGTAATTGGTAGCTTGCTAAAAGTTTTCTCCTCTTTTCTCAGTGCGAGTGAGGATAGATCCCGAGTTTTGTTTGGTATAAATGATTTATTAACCCTCTTCTTAAGCTGAGAAACCTGTTGCTGATTCTCTTCTGCACCAGTTGCAGCAAACTTAACTGTCTTTTCTAATTTGGAAGAAATTTCTGCTTTTATAAATTCTTTCTTCTCTGCAAGATTAACCCTATAGTAAAGAATTAGCAGACAAATCTGGTTGATTCCGTGTAACAATCTTTTAAAAGTGCATTGTTTGTAAAATTTGTTCAAAGATTATAAGGAAATTGGAACAACACTTGAAATATGCTGAAAGTATGAAGCATCATTTTAATTTTTAGGCATACTCTTCAATTCCTTCTGTTTGAGATGAAATTGTAGCTTTATAGGCAACATCTTTGATATCCTCATTCAGCTTTATCTCCTCTGCGGGAGCTTCTATTTTCTGGTAAGTCTGATCCTTAAGAACAATTTTTTGAGGTTTGGTATATATTTCATTTTTCTTGAGAGAATATGAATTCATTTCCTCCCAATTAAACTTTCTGTAATTGTTTTGAGATTTCCTAGAATCTTTCTCTACCTTCAAATTAATTAATTCTGGCTGTAAATGTTGAGGATTTGGTTGACTAGGCTTAGGAATAATCGGTTTCTGTGATAATAAATCCTCTAAATGAGCTATCTGATCCTTTAAATCTTTAATTTTTCTGCCCATCATTGTGATTTCTTGGTTATTTTATCAAAATCTTAGTTTTTTCAGAAGATAGCTCCTCCTTCAGTGCAGTTGTATCTCTAAAAATTAGTAGAATTTTACAAAATATCAAGTTTTCTGTTAAGATCTTGTATAGTCTCCTCAAGTTTTTCCATTTTATCCTTTTGGTCAATTATGACCTTATTCATTGCAACATGAGTGGCAGTAATCTGTTTAAGCTCGACGTCCTTAATAACGAGCTTATTTGATTGCATTATCAAGTTGTTCATCCTTCCTTCTAAACTTCTAAGCAACCTTGAAATACCTGAATTTGACTTTCCAGACCTCCTTGCGCTCTTCCTTATTCATGGTCTCAGTCTGGATGGCGACCTCGGCTGTTTCCAAGACATTGGCTTTGTCAGCATCAGAGGCTACAGCTTGGATAATAGTTTATTACCTTTTATTAATATTTTGGATGCTAAAGCATGGGTGGTTTGTCTTTGCATGGACTCGAACTGGCCCTTGAGTGTCTTCTTGAGGTCTTCGAATTTGGAACGGTAGATGACCTGTGGCCCCAGTTTTAGAAGTTGGTCACTAGGAGGGTTGTTTAGGGCAGCGTAGATAAGAGCAAGGTTGTGAGCTACGTCTGTGGAGAGGACTTTATTTAGGAGTGTTTGAAAGTTCTTGTGGTGTTTTAGGAGGATTCTGAGAGGTTAAGGAGTTTAAGATAGTTATTTGGGAGTCAATTTTATTTTAAATTTTCGTATGTTGTGATCTTTGGCTGTTCTTGTGACTCTATAGGCTTAAAAGATGAAGATACTATGAGATTTATAGGTAATAGGTGTGTTTTTCATCGAATTTAAAACAGACAACAGCTTCTTAATTTCCAAATGCAAAGAATTTGATAGCTTGTTATGAAGTTTGAAGATTTTATCAATGAATGCAATCCCTGGTGTTTCTTTTATCTTGCCTATGAATCTATAGTAAAAGTAGCAGCAAGTACTTGACTTCATCAAATGTATCAATGAGCATATTAGCAATATGTTCAAACTGTGATTTGGATTTTTCAGCATCTTTATAGGCAATCTGAGCTATTTCAATTTCAATTTGATCAATTTTTTCTTGTAGTTCTGTTTTTCTATTTCAAACTGATTCTCTTCTTTATTCTTGGATTAAATCCATTGTTAAAACTCGTGTTCAAGGATTTCTCATGAAAATTAGTGAAACTGTTTTGGGACTTCATGTTGTAGCGAGGCTGAAAATCACTGCTGTCAGTGTATAACTTGCTTAATTTTATGGTAAAGAAGATTACTTTTCAAGTGAAGAATCCTTGGTTAGCAGCTCTCTCTTCCATAATCCTTTATGGCTATTGTTGAAGTTTATGATAAAATTTCGAGGTTTTCTTGACCTGCTTAATACTAGATAGTTTAGGAAATAAGGTCTCACTAGTTTTCTGAGCGATCTGTTCAAGATTTGAATAAGACCTGTTTTGGGAGTCCTTCAATAGTGTTTTCCTACCCCTGGGCATACTTGAATACAAGCTTGTATGGTTAGGTTTCTCTGAAATATTATAACTGTTTCCTGCTGTTTCAAATTTTACATCTTTATGCTTTCCTCTTGAAAGAATGATCCTAAAATTATTGAAATTACCTACTTCTTGGAAGACATTTATGTTTTACTAAAAATATTATTCTTCAATAAAATTTAGTATCTACGGGGTTTTGGGGTTTTGGGGTTTTGGGGTTTTGGGGTTTTGGGG